ATGGAAGTAAAATTCTAAAGGAGCAGGGGAAGTGGGAGGGGTAGGGGAAAGGAAAGAAGGGAAAAGAAAAAATAGGAGAAAAGGAAAAAATTGGAAACAAAATATTTCCAAATAGGGAAGGGTGGAGGGGGTTAAGGGAGGGCAGGGGAAGGGGAAAAAAATAAGAACCAAGATACTCATGTAATGGCACAAGATCCCAATGATGTATATAAATATATTTATACCTAAAATGTACCAATAAACTTAATGGGGAATAAATAAAATAAAAAATAAAGGCCAAGAGGCACAAAAAAAAAAGAAAAGAAAAGAAAAAGAAAAGAAATAAAAGAGAAAAAGAACCTCCATCTTCCCAGCACCTCCCTTAGTTTGGCTTCTGGGCTGCATATATCCAGTAGCTGCTGCCTCAGGCATGTTACACCTTTTGCAGATCTTAACAATAGGAAAGCTGTGGGGTGTGATGGGCCATGCCTACAATCCCAGTACTTTGCAAGGCTGAGGCAGGCAGGTCCAAAGCAAGTTTCAGCCCAGTGATTTAGCAAAATCCTGACTCAAAATAAAAATAAAAATTATTATTACTGTCAAAAAGGTCTGAGGATGTAGCAAAGGTCCTGGGTTCAATGCCCAGTCTGGGTACTGTCGAGTTTTCAAAGGATCTTCCTTGTTCCTGAGATCACCAACCACAGCCCCAGGAGCAACCCTTGAGCTGAAGAGGGCGGCTGGTATTACGGGCAGGGTTCTCAACTGCAGTAGTACAAACAGTAACATTTTTAAAGTCCTTACTAACCACCAGTCACTGTGATGAGCACTTTACATTAATTATCTCATTTGGATCCTCACAACAACCCTATGAGTTGGCTTTATTACTATCACGTCCCCATTTTACAGACTACAACTCGAAGCCACAAGGAGGGTACTGAACCTGGCCAGTGTCCCGAGGCTGCTCAGGGACAGAGAAAGTGCGGAGGCAGTAGAAAGAGGCGCTGTGTGAACTGGCTGGTGGGTAGACAACTTTTCCTCGCTTTCAGGGGTCACCGATGAACTGCAAAGGCTCACTCGTCAGTCACCTGCAGCCCCAAATGGGGTCTGCCAGCGCCTCTCCCTTCCTGGGGGCGAAGTGTGCGCGCGAATCCCGCGCGGCGCCGCTCCCTCATTCTTGAAGGCGGCCTTCGAGGAAACGCGGTCCCCAGCCCCGCACAGCCCGGGAGTAGCAGCGGGTCCGGATTTCCGCACAGGCAGAGCAGAGGGGTGACAGGAGCAGGCCAGGCCAGAGAGGGGGATACCTTTCGGAGGAAGCTGGAGACCACTTGCTCGAAGGGGTACTGGTACACCTGGCGCACGTCCACCGTGACGCCCATTCCGCGGCGACCGCACCTGCGTGAGCTCCGGGCCTGCTCCAGGGCCGCGGGCGTCCACAGCCCGGCCACTGAGGGGGCGCGGGCTTTTCTGCTCCGTTTTCAAACTTTAGAAACTTTATTGTCCTCTCCAAGAAACAGACAGAAGGCGACGCCCACTGCAGGGCGTAGCCGGAGTTGCCACTGCCCCAGAGCTCCGCCCCGGGAGCGGTTGGTCCCCTCCCCGGCCAAGCCTGTGAGGTTTCCCGGGCCTGAGAGCCAGCCCCGGTCCACCACGCCTTGGAGGCTTGGACCACGCCTTGGAGGCCTTGGACTTCGGGTTGTGCTTTTCCGTCTCAAAGTAAGCCTACTCTGGTGCTGACAGCACTAAATTTTAAAATGTGATAACTACAACCCTGAAACTTTAAGGTGGTAATATGACCTCTTCAGTGTTGCTTAGTCTAGCGTGACAAGCTAGCAACTGCATTGCTCACAGGACCAAGACAGCTGCCTAGGGCTTGGGGGTTGGCCCTTTGTTACAGTGAAAATGCGTCTGCTCCCAGCCCAGGAGTGTCTAGGAATTAAAGAACTTGGCTTTCCAACTCTGTAGGGAAGTTCTTTGCTCACTAAAGATTAAACACCAAGGAGCAAGGAGCAAAAGAATACAAAAAGAATTTTAAGTATTCTTTACTCCAACTAAAGAAGTTACTAAATGAGCAAATTGATCCATTTTTCAATAAATTATTCAACACATTTCTGAGCACCTACTATTTGTCAAGCACTGTGGTAGGCACTGTGGATTCGGCAGTGACTTTAACAGGATCCCTGCCACCACGTAGAATAAATAATCCAGATGATTTAGTACCCACTAAAGTAAAGAGGACAACGGGCATGGGACATGGTTGGAGCTAGCCTGAACACAGATGATGGTCTCTGAGATGCTGACTGCTACTTTAGCCCTTGCCATGCAGAGTCAGAGAGGTCTGACAAAACCCTAGCCTTGGATAAGTCTCCTCCTAATGGTCATCCAAGCAACAGAAAAAGACTGCAGGAAAATACATACTCATCCTGACAGGCCTCTTCTTAAATTCCTAACCACTAACCTCAAGGGGCCCTTTAATGGTGCCAGACCACTGCTCTACTAAAATACTAAATTTCTCTTATCCACCTATGCTCCCCACACTGTTCTCACCTCAGAACTTCAATACCTCCTTTCTCAGCCTTATTCTCTGGTGATTACTTTGCTTCCTTTTTCACTTAATAACTAGAAAACATTTCTTCATTACCAGTGCAACACCCTGCCTCCCCTTCTGTTCCTCTTAAGGAACTGTCAGCGCTTAGCTAGGGACATCTCTCCACTTGCCTACCCAATCCAGAGGTGAACTGACAAATGCTTAACAAACACCTCTCCTTTGCACACTTCAAAGCAAAGCCTCAATTTCTAAGAGTTTCTAATTATTAGGGTGCAAATACTCCTACCATGTTTCAAGCAGCCAATGTGATGTCACTATGTAGCTGGAAATAGAAGCTCAGGAGCAGATTATATAGTATTTCCACTGTTCACATGCTATGGACAGTAAAAAAACCATAAGAATTCTGGTATGAAAACATGTAGCAAAATAATTACAATAGATTGAGTTTTGAATATTTACTGCCTTCTAAAGTATAATTTATTCATTATACATTTATATAATTTAATACATAGTAATAGCTGTATTTAAGAGCCAGCTCAAGCACATCACTAGAAGTTTCTATCTTTTCTTATTCAAGGACATCTCTAACAATATCCCCCCTCTTTCTTGTATCGTCAGCATTTTTTTTTTCTTTTTGGTACGGGGGACTGAACTTGGGACCTGGCACTGGAACCACTGAGCTAAATCCCTGGCCAATCAGCATTTGCTTCTACTGGACTGTTCCAACCAGCACATAAATACAATGTAATAGGGCTGGGGATTTAGCTCAGTGGTTCCACCACCTGCTTCAAAAGCACAAGGTCCAGAGTTCGATCCCCAGTGTCAAAAAAAAAAACCCAAAAAATGTGATTTCTTTCATATAGGAAAAAAAAATGTCTTCCTCCATCTGCTCCATTTTTGCTCCTCAGAAGTGTGCCCTATAATCTTTTGAACCCATTCCAATCAGTTTTGGTCCCTACCTTTCCACTGAACTACTTAGTCAAGGTCACCAATGACTAAGTTGCTAAATCTAATAGTTAATTTTTAATCTTCACTTTACTAAACCTATAGGCAGCATTTCTCTGAAATACTGAGTGAGGATTGGAGTGAAGGATCAAGTGCCAAACCCCTACATATGTCAAATGTATATATAAACCAACTCCATTATATCACCAACCTTTCCTTACAGGAAAATCAGGCTCCCTGGGAGCCTGCCCAGGCCTACAAAAGAAAGGGATTTGCCTGTAAGAATTTATGGTATTGTTGAGTATCAGAGAATGATCCCTCCTTCAGAGTCATTTTTGGTGTGTTGAGAAATATTAATGAAATTAAAAGTCTATAAAAGCAGGCTCAGTGCCAGGCACCCTGGTGCATGCCTGTAATTCCTGCTACTTGGGAGGTTTAAGTGGGAGGATCTCAAGTTCAAGGTCAGACTGGACAATTTAGAGAAAACTTGTCTCAAAATCACAGTAGCACAATTCGTGATAGCTAAAACTCGGAAGCAACCCAATTGCTTAACAAGGAGACTGGATAAAGAAAATGTGGGGTTTTTTTATAACATGGAATATTACTCAACCATAAAGAACGAGAAACTAGAGACATTTATAGCTAAATGGATGCACATTGAGGCGATACTCTTAAGAGAAATAAATAGGACACACATGTGTAAATACGGAATAGTTTCTGTGGTGTGAGAAACTGAAAGTATAAATAAGGACTAAAAGATATAATGGATAATGTGAAATAGGAAGAAAATGTGCAAAGGAGAGGGGGAAGTGGGAGGGGTAGGGGAAAGGAAAGAAGGGAATGGAATTAATATGAGAAAGGGAAAAAATGGAAACAAATTCTTTGTAGATAGGGAGGGGTGGAAGGGTTAAAGGGAGGGCAGGGGAATGGGGAAAAAATAAGAACCAAAATGGATTTTGTAAAGGTGCAAATTTCCAGTGATGAATGTCATTATATTGTATACCTTAAATGTACCAATAAAGTTAATTTTTAATAATTAAATAAGTAAATAGGGTTGGGGATGTAGCTCAGTGGTAGAGCTCTTGCCTAGCACATGTAAGGCCCTGGGTTCAATCCCCAGTGCTGCTCCCCACCCCCCCAAAAAGTCAAAAAGAGCACAAGCAGACTCAGCATCAACATCAATTGTGGACATAACTCTTTATGCCTGCTTTAGGCATAATCAATATTATGGTCCGGTGCACTACCCCTGCTTTTTTCTACATTCCTGTCACACAAAGTATTGTTTTTCATCCTTTAACTTTCAGTCTATGAATTTCTTTTTGAGTTACATGTATTGCTTGTATGCAAGCACAAGGTCCTGAATTCAATCCCCGATACCAAAAAAAAAAAATAATAATAATAATAATAATTGCTTGTCTTGCCTGGTGGATTCAATTTATTGGGATTTGTGGAACTGTTGTCTTCGTTACTTTTTTTTTTTTGTACCAGGGATCAAACTTGAGACCTTGCGCTTTCAAGGTAGGCACTGGAACCACTGAGCTAAATCCCCGGCCCCTTTGTTATCTTCTTCTAGAATATCTTTCAGAACTTTTCTGGAGTGCTGGTTTGTTTGTCATGAATTTCTTCAGGTGCCAGGCTAACAGCCACAGGAAGATTAGCCAAGCTTCTGGAAACTGGTGAAGCCAGGAGGGAAAGAAAAAAAAAACAAAAATAAGACAGACAAAACAACAAAACTAAAAACAAAGTTCACACTCTTGAAAAAACAAAAAACAATCAAGAAAGAAAAAATCAAATGAATAAAAAAAGAGAGAGATTTCTCTGTGATTTCAAGCCTGTGGTTATCTTCTGGTATCTACAATTTGTGGTAGTGTCCAATTCAGAGCGTGTCTCTGCTGTAACTGATAGACAAAGGAGAGCCCAGATCATGCTGGTTGATCCCAGCAAGCCTGCAGTAAGATTAGGGTGGGGTGACAATACTGCCCCAAGATCCTGCCTCTTCAGTTTATTAGGGACAAGAGGCCTGTTTGGACTTGCACCCAGTTCTTTAGTACTGGACTATGGTATAGTTTATGACCCCCAGACAATCTCGGTATTGGCATACAAGGAAGAAAAATTGATCACAACAACTGTGTCACCTTGGCTAAAGTAGTACAATCCATAATAATAACATCAACCACAGTCTAGAAAATGACAAACTATGGTAACTGTTAATTTGTTCCCTTTAACCATAAGTAAAAGATTTATAGTTATATAACAAAATCTGAAACAAATCAGAAAATTATATACAATAAATATCCCCTCAATAGAGCAATTTTACCCTCAGGGGAGGAAAATAAAAAGAATAAGAGGAAAAACTAGAGAAATGAAAGAAGAGAAAGAGATTAGAAGCAAGACTAAGGTAAAAATGCAGGCAAGGCTTAACAACATGAGGCCTGTAATCTCATGATTTAGAATCACAGCCTGTTTGTAAAATAGTAATCTTACTCACTCTTGTGAGGGAGAGGGTAGAAACTCCGAGACCAATTTGCTTTGTTTTGCAATTGTGTGATTTAACTGGTCAGGGACTTGAATTTTGAAATTTGCTGGTCAGCGTTAGGATCTCATGACCTTACTTGCTCCTTAAAATATCAAATATCTTACCAAAGAGCTTTTGTAAGATCTCAGATATCTTTTGCATCTTCAAAGTGAGGCACAATGATTTGAACATAGTAAACATCCAATACATTTTAGTTGAATGAATGAATGATTCGTACTTATAAATCTGGGATATATAAGCAGACAGAGAATCCGTTCCCTCTCCTCTTTCCATTTTTTTCACCTTTCTGATGATTCAGTTCTTTCTTATGACCATCCTGACCATCTCTCTTAGTGTGTGTGTGTGTGTGTGTGTGTGTGTGTGTGTGTGTGTGTGTGTGTAGTACTGGGGATTGAATCCAGGATCTCTGAGCTACCTCCTCAGCCCTTTTTGTTTGGTTTTATTTTTGGTTTGAGAAGCAGTATCACTAAGTTGCCCAGACTGGCCTCAATCTTAGAATCCTCTTGCTTCAGCCTCCTGAGTAACTATGATCACAGGTGTGCACCATAGATCCAGCCATTATTGAACTTCTTTATCAAGACTGCGTGGGTCTCCAGACTGGAAAGAACTATGTGTTAGTCATTCTTTTCTATGCAGTACTTAATATAATAGCTGGCACATAGTGCACACTTAATAAGGTTATAAATGCACTTAATGTAGGGAATGGCCTTGGACTGTACCCTTCCTGACCCTACTGTACCTGAGTCTCTCTATCAACAAAAAGACTGAAGGAGCTGAGATTATCACTAAATATCCTTCTTGCAAGCCGAAATTTCAGACATTGGCTAGATCCTCTAGCAGGGCAAGCAACAAGAATATAGTTCCTGGAATCAGGGTACTAAATGGGAATTGACAGAGAGAAAAGCAGAACCTCGGAACAATTTTAATAAGAATGTGTCAGACCCGTGGCATCATTGAACCCAACTTCTCCCACTTAAGGAAGAGATTGATCATAAACTCAAAGGAAGTTCAAGAGTTTCAGTTCAGCAGAGAGGAAATACTTTAGGGCAAGGAACCAGCTGGTCATCAAACCATCCAACATGTCATAGAGACCTAAAAAGGCCTGTCAAATTCCAATTGCCAGGAAAATAAGTACATAAATACCTAACATGATAAGTAAGTATTGGTGCTGAGGAGAAAAAAAATAAAGAGGATGAAGGATAATAATTGGTGATGGGCCAATGGGGAGAGAGAGTGTGTTAAAATTTTAGAAAAGAAAACAAAAAGTGACACTTAAGTAGAAAAGTTGAAAGAAGAGTGAGAACAAGTCATGCCTGTATTGGGACCTGATTATTTTGGTGGGAGGGAATTGCAAGTTCAGACATCCTGAGACACACATGTTCCTGGTGTGTTTGAAAACTGTGAAGAAGCCAGTGTGGCTGGAGCAAAGTACTATGAGATAAAGTTAGAAAATAAAAATGCAGGTCACATAGAATCTTCTAGGTTTTTTTTCTTAATTAATTTTATTGGTACATTTTATTCGTACACTTTAGGTATACAGTTCGTTTACATTTATCATTGGGTGTTTGTACCTGTGCATAATATATCTTTGTTCTTGTTTTTTTCCCCATTTCCTGTGTGGCGTTCACCTCCTCCACCCTTCCCTATTTACATAGATTTCATTTCTATTTTTTTTTCTTTTTTCATAGCTTTTCCTTTTCCTCTTTTCCTTTCCCCTTCCCCTCCCTTCACTCCTTCGTCTTTGGACCTCTTTTCCTATTTCAAATAATCAATTATTCATTTTAATCATTTTAACTCTTGTTTACACTATCAGTTTCTCACACTAGAGAAACTATTCGGTAGTTACACATGTATGTCCTATTTATTTCACTTAAGAGTATGGCCTTGATATGAATCCATTTAGCTATAAATGACTCCAGTTTTTCATTCTTTATGGCTGAGTATTACTCCACCTTATTAAAAAAAAAAAAACCCACATCTTCTTTATCCAGTCTCCAGTTGATGGGCACTTGGGCTGCTTCCAAGCTTTAGCTATTACAAACTGTGCCGCTATGAACATGGGTGCACATATATCACTGTGGTATGATTCTTTAAATTCTTTTGGGAAGATACCCAGCAGGGGAATAGCTGGGTCAAATGGGACCTCTAAACCTAGTTCTTTGAGGTATCTCCATACCACAGAATCTTCTAGTTGACTTTGTGTGAGATGAAAAGCTATTGAGAGTTTTGATCAAGGAGGAAACCTGATCTGACAGGGAAGTTCAAATTTTCCCTCTGAAGGTTTAAATTGAGTCTTCTGACATGAACTGACAATAGAAAAATTAACAGGAGAAAAAAGACACAAATTTTATTATTGTGCCGACACATGGGAGCCATGTTGAAGTTAGGACTCCAATGTCTTCTTGGAGAACACAATTTAACTCCTTAACACTAGACATAAATGGGCAGAGATGAATAATGAAGAAAGACACTGGCACCTCCGGATCCCCAGTTCTAGCCCCCAGATTCCACGCATTACCCTGTTTCTTGCAGCCCCTTTTGGATTCTCTGAGCTTCACCAGAATCTTTCCAGTAAATCTCCTTTGGTGTTTAACTAGCATTTTCTGTTTCTTTGACCTGAGACTCCTACCTAAAATGACATGTAAGAAAAATTAGCTGGTGTAAATTTATATGTCAAAAAAAAGAAAAGAAAAAGTTCTTTATTTCCAGTTGTTTTCCATCTCCAAATCAGTCCAGCTCCTAAAACCTTTGAAAATTGAGCTGTCTTTTTCATTTTTATTTTCAATTCTGTTTTCATCTTATTTAAAAACCCAATAACAAATTTAGTCCAGTTTTTTTGCCTTGGTAAATTGCATCTTTTAAGGCCAATTCACCTCTTACTGTAAGTACAAAAGGGGACGTTTTCTTGGTAAAAGCAGTAGCAATTAATGGCATGTATTTTAAAAGCATCTATTTAAGATGCTTTTGGTCTGGAAAGACCAATTTTAAAAGACTGACCTCACATCAGATTGAAGGCCAGAAATTACTGAAGGGCAGTTGTGATCATTTCACAGATGATAATGACAAAACCGAAAGCACAGAGACTCATTCATGCTAAACCCTTACTCTGCCACTGAGCTACAGCTCAGTCTATTAAAATGATTTTAACAAGTTCTTTCCCTTTCCTTTGTGTGTGTGTCTGTGTGTGTGTGTGTGTGTGTGTGTGTGCGCGCGCGGGCGTCAGTGTTAGGCATGGCACCCAGGACTTTATGTATGCTAGGAAAACACTCTACTGCTGAGCTGTACCCTCAGTCCCTCCACATTTTTCATCAGGGAAGGAAGTAAAGTCCTAGAGGGCAAACTGGTGGGGCAAGGGAAGGAGCACAGGAGGCAACTATGAAGAGACCCAGGGCAGAGGAATAATAAGCAATTATCTTGTGACAATGACTTTGGCTAGTTGTTACACTCTTTTTCCTCAAAGGACTGATTAATAAGATTGACTGAAATGGGAATATTATTAGTCCATGAATTACCACCCAAGAATAATGACAGATATCAAACGATAAGTCTGTTTCCAAATGTAGGTGCTGCCATAAGGCTTCACATATGCTCTGTCTTTGAAACAGTCTGAAGAGATATTTACCTTAGACTGAACTCCATGAAAACAGACTGTGAGTCGTGGGATTTACATGCAGAGATCCATGAGGAGATACATCAATGGGGAAGTAAAGAAATACAGGATTGGACAGAGATATAATCTGCTCCCAAATTTTGTTTTCATCCAAGGCCTCAGCCAATCCTGTGGGAAGCTCTGGAACTGCATGGTCCCCATGAAAGCAAGGGGACTGGGTGGCCAAGTTCCCTGTGATTGATGACAGGTCTCAGTAAGCAGCACAGCTTTGAGGCAGGTAAGGAGCACTGGCCTGGAAGAGGGGATGTGGGTGTAGCACTGCCACTTTACTACCATTCTTATCCACAGTTCACAGGTGAGTAAACTGAAGCATGGAGAGGCTAATTTACTCTTCCAAAAGAAGAATCTGGTCGCCCCAAATTTTTGTCTGCAAAGGTATAATCTAATAAATGCAAGGTGCAAGAAAACTGAAATAATTTGAAGCCAGAACACACAAAATTTCTGATTAAAGGCACTGCTTTTTCTAAGGAAAGGCTAAGTCAGTCAAAAAAATGTTGATGACATATAAAATCATGAGGAACTAAAATTTAAAAAGTAAGTGTTGATACTGAACAAATTACCTCTAGAAATAGCAGATTCTTGTAAAGACTTTGAGTAATCCTTTCCCCATTGAGGGAAAAAATTCCTTTTCCTAAAATGGTAATCTCAAGATAATCCACATGCAACTATTTATTCCCACCTACGTCAGCTCCCCCAAGCAGATTGATCTTAGCAAAAGACCATTTTTAGTTGCCATAGCTGTGATGTCTTAGAATGAAATGGTTTCTGGTTTTACTTTAGCTCTCAACACCTTGAGTGACTATTGTGTGTGATAATTATGCATTGGTTGTGTGAACAAGGCTACCCTGAACCTATCCCTAACTCATGGACCATCTCTTAGTTAGAGGTGAGATAAAACAGATGCTGGATGTGAAAGTTGAAGGGTTAATTCCAAGAATGTAGCAAATTTTTATATGTAATTTGGACCCTAATATTATCTTTATATGAGAGTCTTGCTTTTCCTTACTATAGTTGTTTCCATTGTTGTGCTATATGGAGACCGAGAGACTAGGCCAGCCTATGGTTTCTGCATGAAGTAACATTCTATTAATATTCTCAGAATTACCTTGGGCAACCCATTAAGCAACTTTTAAAAGGTGAGGAGATCATTCTTAGTACCCCTAAGATGCTCATTAGTCCATTAACAGCTGCTTCCCTAACTTCAGATCTGGAATAAAGAAGAACCCTACATGTCAATTTTCTGGGCACAAATACTAAAAGTTGATTCATCTACCACAACGTATGATGTCAATGAGCCAAAAGATGCCCATGACTTTGGAATGAGTGTCACAGCTTGTGATTAATCTAAGGAAACTCCAGAAGAAAAGGCCAATGTGGACTTCCCCTCTAGCAGTCCTAAGACTAGATGGAGTTAACAAAAGAGAGGGCAATTAAACAAGGGGAAAAAATCTGGTAGTGCTAGTTCTTGAGATAAGTATTTCTAGGATTCACAGGAAAGGTTGGGCTCTCACTACATCTTCAAGGGCACATCCCCAATGACCTAAATTATTTCCACTAGAGCTCCACCTTCTAAAGGTTCCACCACCTCCCAATCACAGCATAAGCTAGTAATCAAGACTTTAACACATGGCTTTTGAGAGATATTTAAGATACAAACCATAATAGACACAGTCCCAATAAGAGAAGCCAATAATTGGAAAAAGGCTGGGCTTTCAGTGAACACTGTAGGAACCCTGGACCAGCCAGTTCTAAATATCACACTATTTTTACTGCCCTATATGTTCTCCACAATCAAGCCATAGGATGAAAAAGTATTCCATTGGAATTAGATTGTAAATTTCTCAATGGACTAGATTTAGTATTTCCTTGTATCTCTAGCACACAACAAAAATTTAAGTGCTGACTCCTCTGTGGAATTCAGACAAGATACCATATAAATAAATGTCTGAGTAGGGGAGCTGCTATTTAAATACAGGACATAAGACACTAATACAACCTCTTAATAATAGTAGCTAACATTTACTGGGCATTTAATATGTGTGCAGCGCTGCTTAGTTGATTAGAGTAATTTGCATGTATTAATTTATTGAATCCTCACCACAATATCCAGGTATTGTTGTTACTAGGTTTACAGGTGAAGAAACTGAGGCAAAACAGAGTTATTCAGATGCATATAAAAAAGTCTATTTAAGATGAAAATTCTCAGTAGTCAAACAGCTAATGACCAACAAAAATAAAATCTTAGCCTCATGTTTCAACTAACAAGACTTATCTAAGCTAGTTTATAACAAGAGTGTTTCATCTTTTGGACAGGATAAGAAAATGAAAAATACAGTTTTCCTTAGTTTTTCATAAAACCTTAATGTATTACATTGATTTCTAAATTCTTGGAAATGTGTTTTTTCAATTTGCTGCAATGTAGTTTATTGTAGAAGCTTTTGATAATCTATTTTATTAGTTCAGTCTCTTACCTGTTACTGTCTTACTAAAATGTATCTACTTGTTAACCTAGACATAACAAGCCATGTATCTTTGAGCCAACACCCTTAATATTTGAATCTGTATTAGAGAAACCAGAACCAATAGGGTATATATAGAGATATAAAAGAAGATTCATTATAGGATGGGCTAACATGGTTATGGAGGTGAGAAGTTGATCTGCCATCTACAATCCAGAGAACCAGGAAAGGCAGTGTCATAATTTATTCCTGACCCAAAGTCCTGGAGCCAGGATTCCTGATGACATAGCTCTCCATCCCAGGTCAAATGCCTGAGGACCAGGGAGTGCTCTGGTCTAAGTGCTGAAGTCTGAAGGTGGGAACCTGAGTTCTGACATTCAAAGGCAGGAGTTGATGGATATCCAGCTCCAGGGGAGAAGCAGAATTGATTCTTCTTTGCCTTTTTGTTCTCTTTGGGCCCTCAACAGATTGGATGATATTTTGGTTAGAGATCTTCTTTACTCAGTCCACTGATTCAAATGCTGAGCTTTTCCAGAAACACCTTCAAGTACACTGCCAGAAATAATTTTTAACCATCTATCTGGGTGTACATTAACCCAAACAAATTGATACATAAAATTAACCATCACATGCTCCATGTCTTTATCTTAAAATCAATAAGGAGAGAAAGAGAGGGAGGAAAGGCAGGGGAGAGGGAGATGAGAGAGAGAGAAAGAAATAATTTTAGTAAATATCCAAATATATAGCTGCTTCTTTTAATAAATAAATTTTGATAGCCTGCCTTCTGTAGGAATCTGTTATGGCTTGTGTCTAGATGTCCCCCCAAAGCCTCATGCAGTCAGTCACAGGTGGAGCTTTTCGGAGGTGGCTGGATCTAGGATATGTGATGCTGGGATCAAGGATGTGATGCTGAGATTGATTCAAGGTGTGATGTTAGGATTAAGGCTGCATAGTCCTGGGATGTGAGTGCTACACACCCAAAGGGTGGACAGCCTGGATAGGATATAAGGGACAAGAAGAGAGTTGCTGCTTACCGCTTTTCACTTGCTGCTTCTTTGCTACTTCACTGCTTTTGCTGCCTTCTGCCCACCATGAACCGTTTCTCCTCTGTGATGACCCTCTCTTGTCCCACCCTGCCTTGGGGCCAGCCAACTATGAACTGAATCCTCTACAAACTGTAAGCTGAAATACACCTTTCCTCCTTTAACTTTGGGTGTTGTGTATTTTGTCTCAGCAACAAGAAAAGGAACTCAGAAAGCATCTTTCTAGATTCTGAAGAAACAATGAACAAAACAAATCCAAAGAGCTTACCTTTTACTGAGTGAAACTGATACTAAATAAATTGACACAATGTAAATACAAATTACATATTTCACCTTGGATGAAAAGTAAAGGGAGTGTTGAGAGAGGATAAAAGAAGTATCTAATTTTGTTTGGGTGTGTGCCCAGGGAAGGATTCCTGAGGAAGTGACATCAAACATGACTTGAAAGAAATGAGTATAGATGCCTTGTGTTTTTTCCTTAACTAGACTTTTAACACATTCTTCTATAACCATAGGCCAATTATTTCTGGAAAAGATACTCTACTCACATTCTTAGCCCATGTGTTTTAGAGACAATTCTCTACACAGGGACAAACATGTATTATTAGTAGTATTTCCCCTGATTTTGTGTTTTAATTACAGAAACATCCATTAGCTTAATGTCTGTTGCTCCTGGCTTCTCACTTACTCATTCATGCCCAATTGATGAGTTTTAAGGGGAAACTAGGTATGGTCACTCCATCGTTCCCTGCTAGCCTATTTGGAATCTGACTCCTTCAGGGAGGACTATGTCTGCAGTATTCCTGTTTCTGAAATTAATGGGGCCACACTGTAGGGAAGGCCTGCTGCCGGAAATGTCTGCCAAACTGGGGTCTACTCTTAGGAAGCCCATAAGTGTCCAGTCAGTACCCAAGCCACATTTCCCAGTGCAGCTTTCACTAGTGACAAAGATTAAGATTTTGAGCTCCAAAATATGAAGAAAACAATAACAGAGGTAGTACAAAATTATGAATTTGGAAAATATGGCAAAAATATTGTGAATTATGTGAATGACAAAAGTTTGGGTATTGCTATCCCAAAGAGGGCACTGTGATATCAGGCATGTCTTGGCTTCATCCAGGACTTTCATTATATGAAAAACAAAATAAAACACCAATTGTCAATTTAGAGAAAAGTTTATAAGTTGATGAAACCTTATTTAATATGAGAAGTATGAAATAGCAGCTAATAAGTTAAATTGAAAATATCAGTGTGAAATAATAACCTTTAAAAATATTTTTCAGCTCTCAGTGACCCAGCAGCAACTTTAATAGCACTCTGGTTCAGGGCACAATCTACTGCCCTCCCTTGCTCCTGAATTTTAAAATTTATTTTCTACTGAAAATAAACAGAATCCCTTGGTGCATAGCTAATTTCATGATTCAGGATGTAAAAAATTTAGAACCTTTCTCCATCATCTTTTTGTTGCCATATACAGTGGCAAGAATGTTTTCAAGGATGAAAAGGTCAGTGTGTAAAGGAAAAGGGAGCTAACAAAAACAACCCCTACTATCTGGTGACAAAGCAGAGAAATCAAATGTATACCCAAAGCAAAAAAAAAAAAAAACTACTCTTGTAGTTCCTACCATGAAGCTTCATTCCCATCACACTTCCTTCCCTTTTTATTCACTCCTGTAGTGATAACTCCCCCTTGTCTTTTATAGTTTTATCATTCT